CCGATCAGTCTTCTTTCTGTTATTAGCAAGGTCTTTGAGTCTTTGATCAACAAATTCCTCACATCTCATCTTGAGTCAAATAAACTACTGTCAGATAATCAATACGGTTTTCGATCCTCTCGCTCTACGGCCAACTTGCTAACTGCTGTAACTGAAAGATTTTATCGTGCATTAGATGGAGGCGGTGAGGCTAGGGCTATTGCTCTCGACATATCTAAAGCTTTCGACAAAGTTTGGCATGCTGGTCTTCTCCATAAGCTTGCTTCTTATGGTGTTTCTGGGAAAGTTTTTGAGATTATCAAATCATTTCTTTCTAACCGGTTTATTAAAGTCATCCTTGAAGGCCAACACTCTTCTTTGTTTCCAGTAACTTCTGGGGTTCCCCAAGGTTCCATCCTGGACCCTGTTTTGTTTTATCTACATAAACAATCTTCCTGACAACCTTTCATCTAAAGTAGCTCTTTTCGCTGATGACTCAACTTTATACTCCTGTCTTGACAAAAAGTCTTCTCTTTTCGATCGCCTAGAACAAGTAGCTGATCTTGAATCTGATCTCACTTCAGTAATAGATTGGGGTTCACAGTGGCTTATGAATTTCAACTCTAAAAAAACCCAATTGCTTACTGCAAACAACTACCGTAATATGGTCAACATTCCTATATTAATGGCAATCCTCTTACTGAGTCCTCCTCTTTACGTCTTCTTGGATTATCCCTTACTACTGACCTTTCATGGAAACCATATATACAATCGATTGCTAAATTAGCTTCTGCTAAGGTTGCTTCTCTTTATCGTGCTTGCAATTTCCTTACTTCTGATTCCATTCTCTACCTCTACAAATCTCTTATTCGTCCCTGTATGGAATACTGTTGTCATATTTGGGCTGGTTCTTCTTACGATTCACTTTCTCTTCTTGACAAAGTCCAAAAACGCATTGTAAATGTTGTTGGACCTGGACTATCTGCTAAGCTTGAACCTCTTTCCCACCGTCGTAAAGTTGCATCTCTTTCTCTTTTCTACAGATACTATCATGGTCACTGCTCAAAGGAGTTATCATCTCTAGTTCCATCAACTAAAATTCATTCTCGTTTTACTCGTCATTCAGCTAAGTCTCATTTGTTTACTGTATCTGTCCCTGCATGCTCTAAAAACTTTTATTTGTCTAGTTTTTTTCCCGACCTTCAATCCTTTGGAACTCTCTCCCATCTTCATGTTTTCCTGACTCATACAACTTTCAACTTTTCAAGTCTTCTGTCAACCGTTTTCTTGCTCTATAACTCTGTTCTTTTTTTTCCTAGTAACTCCCAACTTAATAGTGGTTGCTTGCAGCCTTGTTGGGAGTGAATGCAAATTAAAAAAAAAAAAAAAAACATATAAAATTTCAGAGTTTCTACAGCTACACTAGGTTTCTATTTTAAAAAAATGATTTCTCGAGTGTAGTAATAAAACTTGTCAATTAAAAATGTTTTTGTGTGTTGTAAACTATTAGGGGGTACTAAATTACAAAAATTATTTTAAACTTTCTTATGTTTAATGAAACTTTTAACTTTTTTACTGTAAAACTTTGCTATGAGATTTTGTTAAAAAAAGTGTCGAAAATAATACTTTCATAGCATTAAAATATTTCTTTATTTGCAAAGTTCAGTAAGTGTTATGTTTAAAAAATTTGACCAGCCAATAAAAACAGTTGGCTGTCAATTATATGTGTTAGCCAGTCAAATTGGTTGTTTTTAATTAAGACAGTAACCAATAAATTTTTTGTTGAAAAGCAACAATAAATCAAATGTAGTGCTATTGTTCTGAAAAGCCAATACAATTTCCCTAAATCATTAATATGCAATTAAAATCTAAATTTCAAATACTTAAAATTAAGTTTGTTTTAAAGTTAAATGTTTAAAATTCAAAAGTTTTATTTGCTAAATATTCTATAATTTTAACAATTGTAAAAAAACTTTTTTTTTTATCAATGATCGCTGCTTTTACGAGAAGTATTTTTCATAGTTATCTTTGAATAAATTTTATTTTGCAATTTCTGAAGTAGATTACAATAAATTATATTTAAAGACCAAAATCTTTTCATAAAAAAATTATCCATTTTGATAAAACATATACCCTAATTGTGTGTATAGTACTGGTTTACAAAGTCAAGGTTACCCTATTACCTATTACACGAATGAAGAGTGAAAGAAAGTATTACCATGGCACTTGTAAGTTATTATTAACAGAACCAGGCACTTTCAGACAGGTTATTCAGTACTACTACACTCTTATTCATGTGGATCCAACTGTAGATATTGTATCATTAACTCAGCAAATCAGCAACAATCTAAAATCTATTTAGTTTAAATCTTATAACTCTATTAATAAAAACCTTCTTGTAATTGTTAAGGAAGTTATTCATAAACACGTCAAAGGAAAATTGCTTTGAAAAAATTATTATATGCCTTCGCCCTCAAAATAATAAAGTATCTCTTGAAGACAAAGCTTATCTTTGTAATCAGAGAAAAAAATCAGTACAAAGGGTGCATATTAACTATCCATTGATAGATAAGTGGTTAAGAAAAGCAAAAGGATTGATAAAGATTGATAACAAATATCTGACAAAACAGAATCTCTCATACCAAATGTGAACTCATCTGAAGAAATAAGCGGTTCAGCTAATACAGAGGTAAATTTTTTATAAATGAATTGAATATTTGTTGTAAATAAAACAAAAATGAAAAAAAACGTTATGAAAAAAAAAAACTTTTTTTTTTCATAACGTTTATTTAGGATGAAAGTAGTTCAGTAGTTCACCAATAAAGCACAACTTAGTTAAACTCCCAATGTTTGTCATGGAGCTAGTAAAAAGTGAGTGTTCATCTAACATAGATGCAGCTCTTGCAAACCCTTTACTTTATGACATTAAACAGCTCTTAAAAAATGATGTTGATATCAACCATATCTTAATTGACAAGTGTAAGTTAAATATAGCTAAATCAAAAGTAAAAGTTGTCAGTGAAAATATGGACTATGAACAAAAAAATCAGTTAATTTGTCTTGGAGTTGATGGGAAAGTTTATCAGACTAGACTAGTTTGTCAGACTAGTTTATCAGACTAGTCTATCAACTAGAATAATTAAAATATTAAACTCACCACAAGGAAAAACGCTCAATAAAGCATTGAATCTGAACTTAACCTAACATTTATTATGGTGAAAGTGGAAACTGGAAATTATTTGACACATAGGCAATTCCTATTATTGGCACTACAAGTTTAGTTCTTGCTACTGAAACATTCACTGAAAATATTCAAGATATAAATCCAGTTTTGTAAAAAAACTTTTACTTATTGATTGAAAATTTATTAGTAGATGTCTATATTCCATAAGAAATGCTTATAGTTCTTAGTTGCAATTAAAGACTATTATTTGAATATTGTAAAAGTATAAACTCTAGTGAAGTTTCTGAAAAATGAACTGCTTATAAAATTGGACCACTCAACCATGCAGGGTGGCTAACTTTTGCTATTCCCCTTCTCTATTTATATACTAAAGAAAACAAACCGTGTGTGTCTATAAAAAAACTTGTCTATTTTTTTGTTCAAGTTTACGCTCCAGCATGGTTTGAAATTAAATAAATCTTCAAAATTTAACTCTCTAAAAGTTCAGAAATCAATTTAAAGAAAATTCTAGAAACCAATTTTTATGCTGATCACGAGTATGAGTTGATTGGCCTCAGTGTTGTGGAAGTTACAGAACCCCCTACAACATAATGCTTTTCAATTAAAGAAATCTGGCATAATAGACGATAATATTAAGCAAGCAATTCTTCATTAAAAATCTCTCAAATTTTGTGAGTAATCTTATTTTAATTCCCTTCAACTACTGTAACATTATGCATAAGTGAAATCAACCTACCCTACTTAAAAATGAATTTCCTTGCTGTTATTCTGTCACAAAAGCCTGCTTCCATCAATCACCTCTTCACTATTGTCATAGATACTAGAGCAAGTACAATTCAATGTATGGGTTAATTGGTTGTTTTCTCTTGTTTTTGATTGACCAAAACTTCTTTCTTCATTTTATAATTCTCCAAATAAGTCAAAATTATGAATTTTTTCAAGCAAAAACAATATACAGAAATATTTAAATGTTTATGTTGATTACATTATACAATCTTCATATAAACATATATTGTATGATATTTTTAGTCATGCTAGCCATTAATACACAAAGGGATTTATACAAACTTGTTTACTCATAAACCATTGTTTTATTATTTGCTCAAGATGACTAGAGCATCACCCTTTCTCTGAGTCCTAAAGTTTTATTCCACTTACAAAATAGTCTTTACATTCATTCATGATTCTTACCCAATGACATCATCTACAATCTACTTCTATTTTCACATCGCCCAGGTCTACGTAACTGGACGGCTCTATTGGTCACTTTTTGCGATTATTGTGTCGCATAAACAATAAAATATACAGAAACATTTATGTTGATTACATCTTCCTCTAAAAATAAGATAATTGCATGACTTATGAGCAATTGACTCAGACTCGATAATTGTGTGATCAATGAGTGATTAACAAAGGAATACACTTAATAAATTACGAAATTAACGAAAAGTAAAAAATTATACATTTCTTATTTCATTTATTTACCATTTCAATACTTTATTCTACTTAAATGATCTTTAGCTTCTAAAAGAATTTTACATTTTATTAGTTGGAAAAATGATAAAAATGGTATACTTATTCAAATATTCAAATGCAATCCAGTAGCTTCAGATATAAAATGATCTTACTATTTTTTTTGTATAATCCTTTGATACCTTAGAGACAAGTTTATTTGTGGTATAGATAAAAAATCAGAAAATTTTTGTTCCATCATAGTATATATATAAATGTATATATGTATATATATTTATATATATAGTATAACATATATAGTAAAAAATATATAATGTATAAATGATTATAAAAATTATTGAAATGTATATAAATTTATACATACCATTCAATGACACCTCCAACACTAAATAAAACTGACTGCTGCACTCTCTCAAATGTCAAAAACGATGGATACTTTTTAAGAAACTGGCATAGAATAGAGAGAAGGGCATTTGTTAGTGGCCACGAGCTTTCAAACAGATCTTTGTCACGAGCAATAGCACGGGCTAAATTACCTTCATGCAAATCAGCAGCCAGTTGCTAGATAAACAAAAAAATTTAGGTTGATTAACATAATCATATATATGCATAAAAAATATTCAAATACATCTTTTTGTATATATGTAGCATAGTTATACCTATACAGACTTAGAACAGAATAGTAGGCTATAGCTCACCTTGCTAGCTTGCCTCTACACCTGTGTAAGTCAGTTTACACAGGCATAATTAAGCCCGCACAAAATATAAACTTTTTGGTAAAAAAAATGTTAAAAATGACAAAAATAAATATGTTGATGTTTTTTATTTTAAAAAAATGTTAAAAATAAATGTTGATCTTTTTTATTTTAAAAAAATGTTTAAAATAAATATGTTGATGTTAGTTATTTTTTAAAAACACATGATGTTATTTCAATGGATGGCAAACTTAAAAAAATTCTTTTTTAAATAAAAAACTGAAAAAATTAAGCATATACTAAAAAATTTTTTTTTGATTAGTATGTAATATTATGATGTAAAAAAAATATATATATATAAAATCAAACAGTTTTTTCAAACAGCGATAGCTATTCAGTACTGTATTATGTTATAAGCTCTGTATTATGTTGTAAGTTAATTAATCAATATATTAAAAAGCAGAAAAAATATATGCATATATTACAAAAGAATTTAACATGTTCAA